GGCCAGAACACTTCCCCCCTCCGGGACTCGGGTTGGACCTGGACTGTGACATCTTTTGGAGGGACTGGAGGAGAGATACAATAGGCAATCAAGCCAAGTATTCATGAAGATCCCCCCCCAGCTATATAATCTTATCATTACAATCTATAAGTAAAAATTGATCCTAGATCAGCACTTGAACACTGTGAAAATGGGCCCTGGTTTCAATATCAATGGGCTTAGCATTGCACACAATCGTAACTTTATATAGAAAAGTACATACATGTCACATGGAGCTCCTTTACGGTTGATACTCTTCTTTCTCCTGGATATACTGCCTCACACCTCATTCTGGGTTTGATGCGGTACGATGCGGTAAAGGTGAGAGAGGCCCGTAGTGTAGGCCTCTGGCCCTGGCTTGGAGTACCTGCGGCTCCCGTACTCGCTGTTGTTCTCCTGGGCTCCTCTCTCCCACCGCCACTGGAGGGTGGGGGCCTGGGAGGACAGGAGTAAACTGATGCTGCAGTTTAGTGAAACCACCTGTCCTTTCGCGCTCCCCACACCGCTGATCACTGGGGTTCTGGGGAGTCTGTCGTGAGGGGGACAAAGAGAGATAAGAACTGACCTGATGAACATAGTCTAAATGAGGAATAAAGTAATATTTTGTTTGATTTAGTCCATTAGCATTAGGGATATCACTCAGGTTGTATAAAAATGGTATAGATTGGTGTATTAACTGAGCATATAAAATAACTATCTTATATAACACGAAAAGGATAGCAGTTCTTTCATCTCTACTATATAATAAGAGATGAGACACAGAGATCCTGATAAATAACAATAGATACCACTGAGGATACAAAACATTAAGAACCTGCTCTTTCATTACATAGACTGACCAGGTGAATCCAGGCGAAAGCTATGATCCCTTATTGAAATCGCCTGTTAAAATCCACTTCAATCAGTGGTAGATGAAGGGGAGGAGACAGGTTAACAAGTTGATTTTTAGCCTTGAGACAATTGAGACATGGATCGTGTATGTGTACCATTCAGAGGGTGAATGGGCAAGACACAAGCTTTAAGTGCATTTGAACGGGGTATTGTAGTAGGTGCCAGGCGGTTTGTGTGAAGAACTGCAACGCTGCTGGGTTTTTCACACTCAACAGTTTCCCATGTGTGTCAAGAATGGTCCACCACCCAAAGTACATCCAGCCAACTTGACACAACTGTGGGAAGCATTGGAGTCAACATGGGCCAGCATCCCTGTGGGAACGCTTTCGGACACCTTGTAGAGTCCATGCCCCGACGAATTGAGACTGTTCTGAGGGCAAAAGGAAGGGTGCAACTCAATATTAGGAAGGTGTTCCAAATGTTTGGTACACTCAAGTGTATGTAGTTCTGTGAGATGGGATCCCTCTCACCTGACACAACGAGGCCGACACTCCTCGCCTCCCCCCAGTCTTTCTGTCCACGGCCCTTCAGCGCCAGCTCATAGACATAGGAGTCAGCCAGGTGGACCCTGTCAATCATTACAGAGCAGTCTCCATCGTCCGTGTTTCCCCATAAGGATGTCCGGCCCAGGAACTCCTTGCTGACTTTGAATTTGTCATCTGTACTGAAAGCTGTACTCCGCAGGGGGAAGATGTAACCTGTAGTCCTGTAGCGCAGCATCACGCCCACCTCACTTCCCTGCCTGCCCAGGACGGAGTGAGAGGCTGGAGGAGTGAAGGAGCAGGGGATGACCACGCAGGAGCCTGCCAAGGCAGGGACAAGGTTTGGGACAGAGGGCACGGGCGACACACCATGGGTGTCCCTCCACAAGCCTGTTGGGATGAGGTAGTAGAGAAGAATGAGCTATATCAAATGTTAAAGCCCTGTAGTGCAACAATGTGACTGTCTGGTAGATGTGAAGAAGATATTGTACAAGTAAAAATAGTAGCACCACACAATAACAGAACAGAAGTAACACATAGCATCCAACAGATAACCACTCCTGGTTAAAACTACATCCTAAAGTAACGCTATGGAGGAAGAACATTGTGTTCACAGTACATTCAATTATCAATGAAATTAAATAAAATGCAAATTTGTTTTTAATTATAATTATAATTACTCTCTGTCCAGCTGTTTGTTGCCGGGCAGTCTGGCACAATGTGACATGGTGGGACATTTCACAATAGAGTTAAATTAAGAAAGGGGGAAGGGGCATGCTTTGCTTTGCTAGTATTATCATCCTACTGTACTAACATGGTCTCTGTGATTTACTGACTTATTTTCTCACCCCTTATATTGTCGAATACACAATTGCATCAATGAATGGATAGAATTGTACAGTAATCATTTCCCCTCTTTTTATAGTAGGCCTGTGCCTCAATGCATGGGGAAAACTGCTCTGCAGCTCAGTTTAAACATTTTCATTTTCGTCATATCAAAAAAATACATATTTGTGAAAATATCCCTCACTTTATGTTAAAATGCCATAAGACCAAACAGGATCACTGGTAAAATCTCAATGTTGCATTATATGTAATGTTACGTCAACGTAAGCAGGTGACCATTTTACAGTTAGTTGAGGAGTTGTTAAGATAACATTTTTGACTACCCCTATTATCCTAGTGTTAAGGCGCTTCACATTTTAAAACATGGCAGTTAGTTTTTAAATATAACATCATAAGCAACTCACCAAAGATCACAGTACACAGCAGGAGCATTCTGTCTAGACACATGACTAGAAGCATGCTCAACAGACACAGCAGAGGGAAGGATGGTGTGATGGAAGAAGAGGAGAGGAGGAAGTTGTTTTGGTTTCATAATGTCACGGTGACATGAATTTATTTTATGACCCCTAACGATTTCCCCAATAGTTTACAATACTATATAGTTAAGCTAACACATTTAAAATACATCTCATATAATATCGTAATTTGTAATGGCATTATTGTAATACATAGGCCTATAATGCACACTGGCACACCACTTGCTATTGGCTAATGACACATTGTGTGTCTGCGCAGTGCAAGGTGAAAATACAGTAAATGATGATCCTACACTTGTATGAGAAGAATAACTGTTAATACAATCAGCCATTTTAAAAGAGGCCCATAACCCCTGAGATGGAGGATTCCATTGCCTAAGTGACAGATAAAGGAAAGAGAGACATCAGCAGTTATCTGTGTGAGGAGATGCATGAGGACGTGTGTGACTCACACTCATGCTGTAAGCCGCTTCCTCACACCACTAAATCTCTTCTCATTGACTTCGACTCATTTTTAGCTGTAGGCCGTTATATTCATGCAGGGAAAACAATCTTATATTGGCATAAATGGAGGTTGATAATGTAGATTGTAAAATTAAATACAAAGTTAATAATTAATAAGATAAATAAATAGTGTGACCTGAACTTTATCCATTGACGTTTCAGAAGTGGGCTACAGAAAATTATTTTGAACCTTCCAACAAAGTTCCTATTACTAGTTTTAAAGAAATGTACTGAATAATGTCAGTGCACAAGCCAGGACAAACAACATTGCATGGAATGTTTTTCATGTAAAGCTGTAGTTCTGAAAAGAACTATGAAAAACAATGTGTTAAGAGGTCAAGGTAAATGTCAGAAAGACTCTGCATGACTAAAGATCAAGAGGGAGAGGGTTCAACCCGTGTTAAAGATGCAAAATAGCAGTTACTTGGAGATAAAAAAAAAAATATATATATATATATATATATATATATATATATACAGTGGGGAAAAAAAGTATTTAGTCAGCCACCAATTGTGCAAGTTCTCCCACTTAAAAAGATGAGAGAGGCCTGTAATTTTCATCATAGTTACACGTCAACTATGACAGACAAAATGAGAAAAAAAAAAAAAATTGTATGATTTTTTATGAATTTATTTGCAAATTATGGTGGAAAATAAGTATTTGGTCAATAACAAAAGTTTCTCAATACTTTGTTATATACCCTTTGTTGGCAATGACACAGGTCAAATGTTTTCTGTAAGTCTTCACAAGGTTTTCACACACTGTTGCTTGTATTTTGGCCCATTCCTCCATGCAGATCTCCTCTAGAGCAGTGATGTTTTGGGGCTGTCGCTGGGCAACACAGACTTTCAACTCCCTCCAAAGATTTTCTATGGGGTTGAGATCTGGAGACTGGCTAGGCCACTCCAGGACCTTGAAATGCTTCTTACGAAGCCACTCCTTCGTTGCCCGGGCGGTTGTGTTTTGGGATCATTGTCATGCTGAAAGACCCAGCCACGTTTCATCTTCAATGCCCTTGCTGATGGAAGGAGGTTTTCACTCAAAATCTCACGATACATGGCCCCATTCATTCTTTCCTTTACACGGATCAGTCGTCCTGGTCCCTTTGCAGAAAAAACAGCCCCAAAGCATGATGTTTCCACCCCCATGCTTCACAGTAGGTATGGTGTTCTTTGGATGCAACTCAGCATTCTTTGTCCTCCAAACACGACGAGTTGAGTTCTTACCAAAAAGTTATATTTTGGTTTCATCTGACCATATGACATTCTCCCAATCCTCTTCTGGATCATCCAAATGCACTCTAGCAAACTTCAGACGGGCCTGGACATGTACTGGCTTAAGCAGGGGGACATGTCTGGCACTGCAGAATTTGAGTCCCTGGCGGCGTAGTGTGTTACTGATGGTAGGCTTTGTTACTTTGGTCCCAGCTCTCTGCAGGTCATTCACTAGGTCCCCCCATGTGGTTCTGTGATTTTTGCTCACCGTTCTTGTGATCATTTTGACCCCACAGGGTGAGATCTTGCGTGGAGCCCCAGATCGAGGGAGATTATCAGTGGTCTTGTATGTCTTCCATTTCCTAATAATTGCTCCCACAGTTGATTTCTTCAAACCAAGCTGCTTACCTATTGCAGATTCATTCTTCCCAGCCTGGTGCAGGTCTACAATTTTGTTTCTGGTGTCCTTTGACAGCTCTTTGGTCTTGGCCATAGTGGAGTTTGGAGTGTGACTGTTTGAGGTTGTGGACAGGTGTCTTTTATACTGATAACAAGTTCAAACAGGTGCCATTAATACAGGTAACGAGTGGAGGACAGAGGAGCCTCTTAAAGAAGAAGTTACAGGTCTGTGAGAGCCAGAAATCTTGCTTGTGTGTAGGTGACCAAATACTTATTTTCCACCATAATTTGCAAATAAATTCATTAAAAAATCCTACAATGAGATTTTCTGGAAAATTTTTTCTCAATTTGTCTGTCATAGTTGACGTGTACCTATGATGAAAATTACAGGTCTCTCTCATCTTTTTAAGTGGGAGAACTTGCACAATTGGTGGCTGACTAAATACTTTTTTCCCCCACTGTATATATATATCTTATATATCTTACTCTTGAAAAAAATTACTCATTATATTTCAGAATGAAACCTTGGTACCTATTTTTTGTTTCTTTTTTCAGGTTGGGGTGCGGCTTTTTTTCAAAACACCCATTTTTGGGGAAAAGGGAAAACAGAAGCAAAAAAATCTTTTACTCCCGAGTCACTGGTCCTGGTTCAAAAACCCCCTTGTCTGCCGGCCGTACTGGGAGGGACCCCATGGGGGGCCCTGGCCCCGGTCGTCCAGGGTAGGGGGGGAAAGGGGGCGGGATTAGCCAGTTGGTAAGGGGGGGAACCCAGGGGTTGTGGTTCGTTTTCCCCCCGGGGGGGGGGCGTAGAAAAAAAAAAATAATGTATGCACCACTACGGAAGTCGCTAGGAAAGGGCCCGTTTAAAAGATAAAATTAAAAAGTATGGCAAAGAAAATATTTTTAAAAAAAATATAAAAAAAATCCATAAAGTAATCTAATAAGGATCTGGTAAGATTTTGTATGTTTTGCCTTATATGTCAGTGGTGTATATGTGTTGACTTAAAGTATATGTCTTATATGACAAACACTATTAAAATCATGATTTCGGTGAATTTCCTACAAAGTATATGAATTATATGAGTCATTTATTAATATTATAAGAAAGAGTATATTCTGGGAAACATATAAAAAACCATGACAAATACTATAAGAAAAATGCAATATTTGTATATACATTTTCATTTAAAGGCACGGATTTCCATGGTTAAGGCTGGGCAGCACCTCCTACTGGACAGTTGATTTTTCTTCAACTATGCCTTTTGTTCTTCCATTGATGGTTTTCACCATGCCTATCCCTGCTTAGCTTAGATATTTGTCACTGACTACTACCAATGTGCTATCGTGAGAATGATTGTTGAGAGACTTAATAACTAAATAGATTCACTGCTGCTATCAAAGTCATTCCTCCTCCTCCTCCCCTCTTAATCTCCTCCTACCCCTACTCTCCTCCTGTCCACTCCTCCTCCTCCCCCTCCTCCTGTTCTCCTCCTCCTCCTCCTCTCCCCTGTCCTCCTCCCCTCTCCTGTCTTCCTCCTCTCCTCCTCCTCCTCCTCTCCTCTCTTCCTCTCCTCCTGCATGTGTGAATGATGTCAGGCAGTGGTATACAAGTGCTTTGACATGTGTGTCCCATGTATGTGAGACCTTAGAAGGCTTAGCTTACACGTCTCTTCTATGTTTTTTATATAATACATGCAACATTTCTGTTGTCTAAATGCAAACCACCCGTATAAGTCAGATATTACAAGAATCTTCTATGAATCATGTAAGTGTATTTGCTGCCATACATGTTACATACAAGTTCCAGGTAGAACTTATAAGAATCTTGTTAAATGCTTCTATATCGCTTCCATATGGGTAGTGTTATCATAGCCTTGAGAAGCAGTCTATTTGACCCAATAATAAAGTGATAAAACAGGTTCCTAGACACATGATTGAACTGTGGACTATGGACTCCCTGACCTGCTCTGTTATCGTAGTTCTGAGCATGTCACTCCCATTCCTGCCATCCAACAGGTAATCCCTGCATACAGTCAACAGTATTTGGTCAAAAGAATGTGCAAGATTGAAGGTTGCAATAGTGAATGTAAGAATATCTTCTGTTCAGGTAAGGGTTCTTACGTAATGCTTGAAGAGTGTTTGTACCAAGTCTCTTGCTGTTTTTTGTACCTCACGGTTTTTGGCTTTGTATACTGGGTGTGGATGTTTTGTCCTACAAAGTCAATAACCAACTTTTTTGTTATGCAATTAGAATGTACTGTATAAGGATCCATATAAGCTCTGAATTCTCTCTCACTTGGGATTATTTTCATATAGGATGTGCTGTAGCGCTAACTAGCTGGTCTTCTTCAATGATTGTATACAGTATATGAATGGACAAAACAATCGATCACATGACACCATTCATTCATATGTGAAGACTCAATAGCACATTGAAGCCAAATGAAGTAGGTTAGGATGGAGTCTCATGGAGACATAACATGCGCTACTCCAGGAAGTGATGTTGCAGGCTAGATCACTGCTTCCCCGTCTCATAGAATAACTTAAGTTTAAGGCCGACCGGGGTACTGCAGGCTGCCATTAGCAACTTCTTCTGTGTGCGTTTAAAAAAAAAAATCTGTTCAAGGACATACATCTGGTGTATTAGATGCAATTATTGATACCATGATGGTCTTCAAAACATTTATACAAAGATTGTCATTTTTCCATTCACTATAGTTGGGGATCCTGTTTTCTGCAACCAATGCCTGCAGTATCGCTGTCAGCCTAATGAATGGTGCAATATACAGTAAATAAATGCAATTCATAATCATCATTAATTCATAACCATATACTAACATATCTGCAGCCCAGCAGCTCCTGCGCTCCCAGCGGGATGTGCTCCTGGAGTGGACCCATGTCCACCCGGCCCCCCTACTACGCTGGCTATGTGACGCCGGGGTACTTTCCCACGCCCCATATTGGCAGTGTGAGCCAAACCTGATGCTGAAAAACGGTGCTGATAAAGAAGAAATATGTCAGATTGACTTTGTCACGATCGCTTACAGACGGGACGGACCAAGGCGCAGCGTAATATGCGTACATGTTTATTAAATATCAAACACAACGACAAAATAACAAACAAAACGAAACGTGACAGGTCCAAACCAATCCCAGCTAGGAGAGATTAAACAGGTCCAAACCAACCTCTGCTAGGAGAGATTAAGTCCAAGGCAGCACAACACAACCTACCTTAACACGGAACAAGATCCCACAACCCACTAGTGCCAATAGGCTGCCAAAGTATGGTCCCCAATCAGAGACAACGAGCTACAGCTGCCTCTGATTGGGAACCACACCGGCCAACATAGATCTACACATAATAGAAAATACACACCCTGACTCAACAAATACGAGTCCCCAGAGTCAGGGCGTGACAGACTTATTGAACGTTATGTGGAAATGATTAACAGAGTCAATTCAGGGATTCACTGGACTGTGGCAAATCCTCTAATGTCTTGCCAAGGTCTTAACTACTGCAGATTGGACTGGCAAGCGGTTTGCATACATGCTTATCCTTGAACAGCAATAGAAAAGTAATTCATTTTAGCCTGTATATAGTAGTCAATAAAATACTCTGTCAATGTGATAAAACATTCTGTTGAGTTTCCATCTGAGATTTACCCTGGTGTTTTACCCAAAAGGCTCAAAATGTTCTGTTTCCATCTACGCAGACCGGCACCCGTGTCTCACTGGGCCATGGCTCCGGCGGACATGCTCTGACTTGGGGCCAATGTCAGAACACTGGTACTTTTCAGCTCGCATTTACATAACAATTGCTAACTGTGAACTTTAACTTCTTCTCACAAAGCAACTGTCTTGATGATGCAGAGGTTGTTGATTCTGCTCGCCCCAAGTCTTTAGAGTCACACTCCTGATGGAAACACAATTACACTCGAGCTTACATTAACATAAAACACTGGCGACACACTGGTGTGCGGTAAGTCTTAGGTGGAAGTGCAGATAGTGTCAAATACCTTTCCCTGTAGTCCATTATCAACAAAGTCTGGGACAACATCTCACCTGATGCCTAGTTATGTTTTTCTAGTTTGCATCTATGCATTTTTTTCCTCTCTCATCTCTATAGAGAAGAAGCCAAAAAGCCCCATTTCAAAACTGTTCAAAGGCAAATTCACTGTGACCACTGAGGTCAAAGGTAATGAATTCCATTATCATCCATCATCAATATTAAAGATAGGAATCAATTATCACTAACATGCTTTCTAGTGTGCCCAACTGACACATCAGTAATATCACACAATTAAATGTATTCAATCCCCAGGTGGGAAAAATGTATCTTTCAAATGTGTCAAATGTATAATTCAAATTGTTGTCTTGATAATTTAGTTGAGGAAGAGTTGAAGCCTCAGCGGAGTGTAAAATCTTCTCATCTCAGAGGTAGGTTGATAACGTTAAGAGTTGGGGCAAACTGTGTAGCACTGAACTTGAATTAATTGTTGAATCAATATTTGATTATAAAGACATTATGATTAACAAATTACAGCAACATTTCCCCTAGATATGACTTGAGTATCTTATTGTAATGAGTTAGGTATGAATGTCCATGTTGCGTGTAATTTACTTGCCTCTCTTTTATTGCAGTTCCCCTTTCAGCTCACAAAAATACCCTTCTGGAATGTACAGAACGACTTTCATCTTACGCAGAAGGGGGAGGGCCTCCAACTCTGCTTCTCACATTGAGATCCGATACACTGATCTCTTCGTGACCGAGGACAACGAGTCATTTGACAGCAGCCAGCATGAGTACTTCACCCTGGCCGGTCGACGGGCACGCATCTACGCCCACCAGGCCTGCCAACGCATCTGCCCTCGCCACCTCCTGAGCCCCCAAGGCACCACAGGGCGCCCCCCGAAGCGGGTAAAGTTGAAGGGCATCGCTGGCATCGGCAAGAGCGTGGCAGTGCAGAGGCTGGTCTATGAGTGGGCGCTGGGGAAGCACATGCGTGAGTTCACCTGTGTGTTCGACCTCCGCTTCCGCTAGCTGAACCTGATCAAAGCCCCTCTGAGCTTACTGGACCTGCTTGGATACCGCTTCCGCTACTTTAAGGCGGTTCTGCCAGAGCTTCTGGCCTTGCCAGGTTCCTTGCTTTCATTCTGGATGGGCTGGACGAGTTTAAATACCAACTGGACTGGAACGCTCCTGACAGGGACATCAGCGTGGACTCCAAGGTGCCCGTATCAGAGCTGATAATGGCGTTGATCAAGGGGAGTCTACTCCCAGGATCCTCGGTCATCCTGACATCCAGGCCTTCCACGGACACTCCTAAGCGGTTCTTCCAGCGTTGCTGCGTGGTCCTGGGCTTCGAGGAGGACCAGGTGAAGGAGTACACCTTCAAGTTCTACAAGGACCCCAAGGTGTCTGAGAAGGTGTACAACTACATCCTGGACAATGACAACCTCTTTGTGCTCTCCTTCATCCCTCTCTATTGCTATATCATCTGCACCGCCTTGGCCGAGTTCTTTTCCAGTCAGGAAGATGGTGACTCACGGTCTCTAGAGTTGAATCCACCTAGGACAGTCAGCGAGGTTTACTACTGCTACCTGTTTACAAAGGACTTCTGGTGCTTTGGTGAGATCCCCCCACCTTCCACCTCCCCAACTCCCCTACTGAGCCAAGACCTCCACCTGGACCAGACTAGGGTGGAAAACCTGCAAATGTTCACTCGCTTCTTCATGGGGCTTCTCCGGACCAGGCTGGGGGGCAGTTGGGTGGGCTGGTGCTGGCCCCTCTGGAGGTGGGCATGGAGGGGGAGGATATCCCCGCCAGGCTGGGTATCTGGTTCCAGAACCAGTTTAAGGGTAGGCAGCTAGCCAACCAGACGGCGCTGAACCTGCTCCACTGTCTGATGGAGCTGCACATGAAGGAAGTCACCAGCAGGGCAGCACCAGAGATCCGGAGTCTGAACCTGTTCAAGATGAAGCTGAGCGTGGTGGACTGTGCAGCGTTACATTACGTGTTGCAGTTCTCCCCACATAGGCTTGAGGAGCTCAACCTGGGATACTCCAATATCAGAAACAGAGGTCTTAGCAGGCTAGTTCCAATATTGCACCGCTGTGAATCTCTTTAGTGAGTATTCATAGCATTTTTCTTGTGGGACACAGCTCTGCACCACCTGTTGCAAATGTTTGATCATTCACAGGGACTAGCTGAGGAGAAGTATAGCAATTAACTCATTAATGTAGGTAACTATAATTTGTTTTTTTTCTCAGTCTACGGTATAACTGTCTGGAAAGGGAGGCAGCCATCCTGCAATCTGCAGTGTTGAAATCAAATGACTGTCAGGTGAAGAAGCTGTTGTAAGTGACTCTGAAAATAACAATCTCTGAAAATAACATAAATGCATGTCTAACACTGTTTCATAGTGCCTCTTTCTCACACTAAACTCTTGATTCCTCTACTTTGTACAGTATGTGTGGTAACAACTTGGGTCCGGAAGGGGTTCTGGAGCTGTGGAATGCCCTGGAGCAGAACACTACACTGGAGGAACTCTACTTGGACATCACTGGCATCACAGAGAGAGGAACAGAGAACATTGTCAACTGCCTCAGCAAGAACACCTCTCTGAAAACGCTGACGTAAGAGAAAGACGAGAGGGAGATGTATTATCTTTTTTTGAATTATTTATTTTATCTGACTTAGTATCAGGGGCGGTGTGTTCAATAGGGCGATATGGGCGACGCACTGCCAAACGGGAAAAGGAAGGGATTTTTTTTCTAATCAATTATATCACGGCAACAGTAGTTATCAGTGTTCTAATCTGATCTGACTGCCACTAAATGTCAAATCAGGCTAAAGTCGTGCTTCAAATGGCCCCGCCCGTTTTTGGGGCGATTTCAGTCATGTTGAAAATCGCCCAGAAGTCTGTCATAGACTCCCATGTAAAATCTATTTTTTTCAAATTTCAAAGCTTTCAATACAATCTCTATGGGTGTCTGTGGGCTTGCACTTACGCGCTTTCGTCATACGTGACGTAACCATGAACGTAACTAAGAAAATAGCGGCTAGCAGCGTCTCTGTTGCGACCTGCAGTGTGGCGTTATCTTATGTTTTTAATTTGTACACTTAGTGGCGTTATTTTATGTTTTTAATTTGTACACTTAGTTTACAAACATTCTGCCAACCATGGATTTCCAGTGGTGGGTTTTGGACTGATCTTGTTGATCGTGTACATACCCGCTACGAACGGACTAAATAATGAAAACGCTGCTGGCAGCGGAATCAAATACAGCTGGGAGACTTGGCTGGATGACAGAGTCCCGGACAGAGAAGTGGAGCCGGCCGGCTTCACCCTGGTCAGAGCGGACCGCGATCTGACACAGTCACAGGGAAAATCGATCCTGGTAAGAGAGCGACTCTGTACCCCCGACATTGAACTGCTTTCTGTGTCACTGCGACCTTACTATCTGCCCCGTGAGTTCCCCCAATTGTTTGTTACCGTTGTGTACTGTTGATAATCACAAGTTTACTGGAGAACTGAGACCAAGTAGAGACTTTGGACAGGGTGGATATGGTATAATAAAGGCAGTTTATTCAGAGGTAAAGATATCTGGAATCGCGTGCACGGACTCGTTCGTCAAACTCTTAGGGAGCTATCTGAAGAGAGCCCCGAAAACATTGTGTGCAGACATTTTATACAATAAATGATGTAGGTTGAATCTAGTAGTTCTGATCTTCTGATTGGTCCTGATGAGTTGGGCGAGGTCCCCTCCACTGTTGCATTGGCTCTGAGTCGGGTTCTCTGTCTTCAAATGTTCAGCCTAAAGAGAGGGGATTTTTGTGTGTGTGTGTGTGTGTGTTTAACAGTGATGATGTGTGTGTGTGTGTGTGTTATCAGTGATGATGTGTGTGTGTGTGTGTGTGTGTGTGTGTGTGTGTGTGTGTCCTCAGAGCAAGAACTCGTGAGTTGGAAGAACTGAGAGACCTATGGCGTGGGTGTTGTCCTTGGCCACCTGCTGACAAGGCTGACAAGATAGGACTCTTTTGTCCATTGTTATAGGATAGGAACAGCATTGATTGAAAACAAACGCCCAACACAAAATGGGTCATGCACAAGATTTTAGTCAGACCAAGCTATAACATTATATATTTACTACGACAGTACATTCAACCAAAAGCTAATATAACAAAGGCATCAGAGATTATTTATAATCTGTCACAGAAACTGGAATCCATCTCCCCAGATCAGTCAATAAATGCTTCTGGTATTGACTTATATGCTGCCCCTGTCTTCATGTTGTTGCTGGACATATCTTTTTTAAAATGTGTGTAGGTCACCTAAATCATCAGAAAAATTGCCCCTCCTGAGAATTTTTTCAGGAGCCGCCACTGCTTAGTATTACTGCATTGTTGAGGAAAAGCTTGCAAGTAAGCATTTCACTGTACTGTTTACATCTGCTGTATACTGTGCACGTGACAAATTCACTTTGATCTGACGTTGAAAGTTTTCTCTGAAGTTACAATGGGCGTTGACATACTGCCATCTAGTGTATTTCACAGTTGTTGCTATGATAATATCCTGTCTGACCTGTTATTATAATTTTCTCCTTCCCAGCATCGTGGGAAATGACATTGGGGAGGTGGGGAAGAGGAGGCTGAGGGAGCTGGAGCATCGACGGCCGGGGCTCCGGATCATTGGGAACTTTGTGGACGACCTAGGACTGCTAAAGGCCTACCTGGATTGGGTAGAGGAGATACGGGATGACCGGGACCAGATGGACTCAGTGAAGAACGCAGATGCCCTACAGTCCGTCCTGAAGGGGCTGAGGGTGGGAGCAGGTGGGGAGAATGGGGAGGGAGGGGAAGGAGAGAACACAGGAACTGGAGATCAAGATCCTGGAGCTTTTGAACACCCCCACTCATCTGGCTGGAGTGAGATGACTTCACGTACCCTTTTGGTCCATGAGAAGCATAGGTTATCCACAAACTGAGATGTCTGTTCAAGTCTAAATGGGGTGTGGAGATGGAGCTGGGAGTTGTAGAAATTACAGCCAATCATAATGTAGATATTCAGAAATTCTGTAATTTCAGAATAAATGTCACAAGTGACAGTGACTCTTACTAAACTAGACTGCCATTCTTTTTACACTGAACAAAAATATAAACGCAACATGTAAAGTGTACATTTTCCATAGGCACTAAAAGCTTATTTCGCTCAAATTCTGTGCACAAATGTGTTTACATCCCTGTTAGTGAGCGTTTCTCCTTTCCCAAGATAGTCCATCCACCTGACAGGTGTGGCATATCAATAAGCTGATTAAACTGCATGATCATTACATACACCTTGTGCTGTGGACAATAAAAGGCGACTTTAAAATGTGCAGTTTTGTCTTTCATTTGACTGATTTCCTTATATGAACTGTAACTCAGTCAAATCTTTGAAATAGTTGCATGTTGCATTTATATTTTTGTTCAGTATATATTACGTATCAGCAGGTCTTATTATTTCTTATCATGCCTATTTTATTGCCTTCTAATCGCATGTGGTGTCAGATATGTGCTGATGTGGATGCGGTGGTTGAGTCAATCGCAGGACACAGAGGATAAGTCAAGACGACTTTACTAATACTTGTAAATAGACACAAAATAAACGGCCTCAAACACTGGAGGCGAACAAAATACGCGCAGTGCGTAAAACAACAACGAGAGTCGAAATACGCGTAGTGCGTAAAATACTATACAAAGCCAAGGCACCGAACCTATCAACACACGACATGTGGAACAATAACACACAACTACAAAACATAACACAGGGAAACTTATAGGTGACATAATCATGACAGAATACGAAACAGGTGCACTAAACTAGACATGACAAAACAAACATCGAAAACATCAAACGGTGGCAGCTAGTACTCCGGGGACGACGAACGCCGAAGCCTGCCCGAACAAGGAGGAGGAGCAGCCTCGGCGGTATTCGTGACAGTACCCCCCCCCCTTGACGCGCGGCTCCAGCCGTGCGCCGACCCCGGCCTCGGGGACGGCCAGGAGGACGCGGAGCAGGGCGCGTGGGATGATTACGGTGGAACTCCGTCAGGAGGGAGGGATCTAAAATGTCCCTCCTAGGCACCCAGCACCGTTCCTCCGGACCGTACCTCTCCCACTCCACGAGATATTGTAGACCCCCCATCCGACGTCTCGAATCCACGATGGACCGGACTGAGTACGCCGGAGCCCCCTCGATGTCCAGTGGGGGCGGAGGAGTCTCTCTTATCTCACTGTCCTAGAGTGGGCCAGCTACCACCGGCCTGAGGAGAGACACATGGAACGAGGGGTTAATGTGATAATCATTAGGCAGTTGTAACTTGTAGCATACCTCGTTCAATCTCCTCAGGACTTTAAATGGCCCCACAAAACCGCCGACCCAGCTTCCGGCAGGGCAGGCGAAGGGGCAGGTTTCGAGTCGAGAGCCAGACTCGATCTCCAGGTGCGTACACTGGACCCTCACTGCGGTGGAGATCGGCGCTTGCCTTCTGTCTACGGATAGCCCGCTGCAGATGGACGTGTGCAGCGTTCCACGTCTCCTCCGAGCGCCGAAACCACTCATCCACCGCAGGAGCCTCGATCTGGCTCTGATGCCATGGTGCCAGAACCGGCTGATACCCTAACACACACTGGAAAGGGGTCAGGTTAGTAGAGGAGTGGCGAAGAGAGTTCTGGGCAATCTCTGCCCAAGGGATATACCCCGACCACTCCTCATGCCGGTCCTGGCAATACGATCTCAGAAACCTACCCACATCCTGGTTCACTCTCTCCACCTGCCCATTACTCTCAGGGTGAAAACCCGAGGTAAGGCTAACCGAGACCCCCAAATGTTCCATGAACGCTCTCCAGACTCTAGAGGTGAATTGGGGACCCCGATCGGACACTATATCCTCGGGAACCCCGTAGTGCCGGAAGACGTGGGTAAACAAAGCCTCAGCGGTCTGTAGGGCAGTAGGGAGACCCGGCATTGGGATGAGACGACAGGCCTTAGAGAACCGATCCACAACGACCAGAATAGTGGTGTTCCCCTGGGAGGGGGGTAGGTCAGTGACAAAGTCTACCGAGAGGTGAGACCACGGCCGTTGTGGAACGGGCAGGGGCTGTAACTTCCCCCTGGGCAGGTGTCTAGGCACCTTACACTGAGCGCACACTGAGCAGGAGGAGACATAAACCCTCACGTCCCTAGCCAATGTTGGCCACCAGTACTTAACACTAAGGCAGTGCACTGTCCGGCCAATACCTGGATGTCCAGAGGAGGGTGACGTGTGAGCCCAATATATGAGACGATCACGGATCTCGAACGGCACGTACGTCCGCCCCACTGGACACTCCGGAGAAGTAGGGTCGGTGCGTAACGCCCGCTCGATTTCCGCATCGATCTCCCACACCACCGGTGCCACCAGACAAGACTCCGGCAGTATGGGAGTGGGCTCAATGGACCTCTCCTCTGTGTCATACCGCCGGGACAGGGTGTCTGCCTTACCGTTCTGGGACCCTGGGATGTAAGTAAGCTTAAAAACAAACCAGGTCAGAAACATGTTCCACCTAGCCTGACGAGGGTTCAGTCTCCTAGCTGCCCGGATGTACTCCAGGTTATGATGGTCAGTCAGAATGAGAAAAGGGTGTTGAGCCCCCTCAAGCCAATGCCTCCACACCTTTAGGGCCTGAACTACGGCTAGCAGCTCCCTGTCCCCTACGTCATAATTTCGTTCCGCCGGGCTGAGTTTTTTAGAATAAAAAGCGCAGGGCCGGAGTTTAGGAGGCGTGCCTGAGCGTTGAGACAATACTGCCCCAATACCGGCCTCTGACGCGTCCACCTCCACTTGGAACGCTAAAGCGGGGTCCGGATGCGCCAGCACCGGAGCCGAGGTGAACAGGTCCTTCAGTTGATCAAACGCCCTGTCCGCCTCAGCCGACCGCTGCAAACGCACCGGGCCCCCCTTCTGCAAGGAAGTGATGGGAGCTGCCACCTGTCCAAAACCCCGGATAAACCTCCGGTAGTAATTGGCAAAACCCAAAAACCGTTGCACCTCTTTAACAGTGGTTGGAGTCTGCCAATTACGCACGGCTGACACACGGTCAATCTCCATCTCCACCCCTGACGCGGACAACCGATGACCCAAGAAGGAGATGGACTCCTGGAAAAACAGACATTTCTCTGCCTTGACATACAAGTCATGCTCCAACAGCCTACCCAACACTCGGCGTACCAGGGCTACATGCTCGGCTCGTGTAGAAGAGTACACTAGAATGTCGTCAATGTATACTACCACACCCTGCCCATGCAAGTCCCGGAAGATCTCGTCCACAAAGGATTGGAAGACTGAAGGAGCATTCATTAACCCGTATGGCATGACGAGATACTCATAATGACCCGAGGTGGTACTAAATGCTGTCTTCCATTCATCTCCCTCCCTAATGCGCACCAAGTTGTAAGCGCTCCTGAGATCCAGTTTTGTGAAGAAACGTGCTCCGCGTAATGTTTCCGTCATACTCGCAATCAGAGGAAGAGGATAACTGTATTTAACAGTGATCTGATTGAGATTACGGTAATCAATACACGGGCGCAACCCTCCATCCTTTTTCTTCACAAAAAAGAAACTCGAAGACACAGGGGAAGTGGAGGGCCGTATGTATCCCTGTCTCAGAGACTCGGCTATGTATGTCTCCATAGCCGCCGTCTCCTCTTGAGACAAGGGATACACATGGCTCCGCGGAAGTGCCGCACCTGCCAGGAGGTCTATTGCACAATCTCCCCGTCTATGAGGTGGCAATCGCGTCGCCCTAGTCTTGCTGAACACGAGTGCCAAATCCTCATACTCGGGGGGAATGTGCATTGCGGGCACCTGGTTCGGACTCTCCACCGTGGTCGCCCCTACGGAAACACCTAAACATCACCCGACACACTGGTCAGACCACTCCTTGAGAGCCCTCTGTTGCCACGAAATGGTGGGATCATGGGCAATTAACCAAGGAAGCCCCAGTACCACGGGATAGGCAGGAGAGTCGATCAGATACAACTGAATAATCTCTTCATGACCCCCCTGCGTCCTCATCTTAAGTGGCGCTGTGACCTCCCTAATCAACCCAGATCCCAACGGACGGCTATCTAGGGCATGGATAGGAAAGGGTGCATCAACGGGCAGGAGGGGAATCCCTAACCTCACACAAAAATTACGATCAATGAAATTCCCAGCTGCGCCTGAATCGACTAGCGCCTTATGCTGGGACTGAGATGCAACCTGAGGAAATACTACAGGTATACAAAAGTGAACAACAGAGAGCTCTGGGTGAGTTGGGCGCCTACTCACCTGGAATGACTCCCCAGTGCGCGACCTGTTGCCTCGAACCCCTGGAGACCCTCCCCAGCACCTAGCCGCAGTGTGTCCTCTACGACCACAGTTGGTGCAGGGGACGGCCTCCCTCGGAATCTCTCTCCTCCTCTCTCTAGCGCCAGCACCCCCGAGCTCCATAGGGCTCGGCTCGGAGGTGCTGGGGGATGGAATGGACGGCCCCAACTCTGGACGTCCGCGGGTGGCCAGCAGGGTATCCAGACGGATTGACATGTCCACCAACTGGTCGAAGGTGAGATTGGTGTCCCTGCAGGCCAACTCTCGTCGAACGTCCTCACGCAGGCTGCACCGATAGTGGTCGATGAGGGCCCTCTCATTCCACCCCGCATCCGCCGCTAGAGTCCGGAAGTCCAGGGCGAACTCCTGTGCGCTCCTCTTCCCCTGTCGAAGGTGGAACAGACGCTCCCCTGCCGCTTTACCCTCAGGGGGATGATCGAAAACAGCCCTGAAGCGGCGGGAGAACTCTGCGTAACTGATGGTGGCGGCGTCTATTCCCCTCCATTCGGCATTGGCCCACTCCAACGCCTTGCCGGAGAGACAGGAGATGAGGGTGGAAACGCTCTCGTATCCCGAGGGCGCCGGGTGTATGGTTG